GTTACTTTGTTAGGCTATGTTATATTATCATTTCTAATGTTATCTGCTTGAATATACCATATACTTGACTGGTTTGTGTATAACTACTCTATCCCAGAGTCTTCAAATATATATATATTTTATATATATATATATATATATTTTTTTTAGATGGACAAAAACACTTAAGAATTTGATTTTGATGTAGTGTTCAGGGATTTTGCTGATAGACACTAGGAAGTTCCTGTCGGTTTGGTTTAATTTAATTGATTTCTGTGCAAACATATTTTCTCTGACATTTTGAAAATATATTAAAAATAGTATTGTAATAGTAGTAAGTTAAGTTGAACTTGATTTGATTGTTCACTTTAAACTAACCTTGAACTTGGTTCAAACTATAAGCTTCGTTTTTATAACTTGATTTTTATAATTAACTATAGTTCAAAACTTAATATTGTAGAATGTTAGTTACTATTTGCACAGATTCGGGTGAGAGAGGAGAACGAATTTTCCTAAACACGCCCAACAATTATAACATTTAATTTGTTTTTTTATTAGATTTTAGTTGGTTAAGTTTGTTCCCTCACTTGTCCAATACAGAAATATTGAAAATATATCAAAAAATCGATTTAATATTTACATATTAATATTAAAATTTTACTGACGAGAAACTATATATTGTCAATAAACAAATTAAAAAAACAAACTAATGTATGTGCTTTAGACTACACGATAGAAGTAAAAACATCAACAAGGCGAGATTAATAATATGAAATATACATTATAAATTATTGTATATGAAGAGGATGAAATGCTGAACATTTTCCTCGCTTAGTATGCAGGTCCGATTTTTAGTTTCTGAGATATTTTAATCCGTATCTTCAATAAAACTCGTTATAGGTTGTTTTTTACTCTATTTTTTTTTTCCTTTTCGCCTCTCTAACACGGCCTTGCGTTAAGGTACAATTTTGAATAATAGCCTATTACAGAGAGGCTATGAAATGATGAACAATTCCCTCGCTAACAATATGGAGATATTTTGTTTTCGAGATATTTTAAACCATATACAAGAACACTTAGTCGAATTTACCCGAGCGTTACACATTGAAGATCTGACGGCTCAATCTAATTTAACCTCCACAGTTCAAAAAATAAAAATGGCACCTAGGAAGCCACCTAAGTGGTTAATTTGCAAATTATATAAATTATTTTAGGATATTTAAATCCCTACTTCCAATGAAATGATGAGAAAGCTACACTGAGCTATTTGACTAATGCTTTTTTTTTATTTTCACTTTCCCTGATTTTTTTTTTCTGTTCGCATTACAGACCATGTAGACCTTTACTGCCTTAACAAGACTGCTCCATCTCTGCCTGTCTTGGGCTATTTCTTTCCATTTATCTGCATGTAGTTCTATTACATATTTGTTGGTTCTATTTATCCATCTACTTTTTGGCCTTTCACGTGGTCTTTTGCCCTTTATTGAGACATTCAATTTTACGTAGAGGCTTCCTGATGGATTGCTACGAGCTACATGCTCATCTTAACCTCTATTCCTTCATATAATGGTTGACTGTTGACTGGTTGACGAGTTTCTGTTAAGAGTTCTTTATAGGTCTTTCTTCTCCATTTATTAACATTCTAATTAGCGTCTAGTTAGCGTCCAGGTCTCACAGCCATTTATTAGATCTAGCTTTATCATATCATTGTACACCCTTAGTTTGAGATTTCTTGAGATTTTTCGGGATTTCAATACTTTTGAGAGAGGGGAAGAAGTTAATTAATCAATGATTTAAAAATAAAAACCACGTTGATTAATCAATATAGTCTTAGCACAAAGCTGAATCTAATACATTTTAAAATATTCCTAGAACTTGTTACTCTAATCGTGACCTTATTCATCTAATCCTCATAGAACCATCGGGCACGTGCCCTTCGAACGGATCAGTAGAAATCCTTAGGATATACTTCAGCTGCTGGAGAAATGTAGGACAGGACTAGGACTTAAGACTGGAGCTAGCACGAACTAATGGAACAGCTGATCAGTATAAAAGAGCGAAGGCAATCGCCGTTGCATACATAATGAGATTCTGGCTGATCCTTTAGATGGCGCTGCATCTTGTCCCTACTTAACTGATTGCATCTACTTTACACCTTCTTCTCTTTATTAGGAAGTTCTCTATTAATTTATTCGACTGTCTCCATGTTGTTCTTGTCCGGTTCTAGCAATAAAACACTAGTGATCCGCCGTAATAATCATAAAGAAGAAAAAAATTAAGTACTCAAGATCCTTTCACTTCCAAAAAGAGACATGCTGAGCTCATTATCTTCCATCGCATTCATGAATTACATCCTAAACATGACTAAAAACAAAACAGATACAGTTGAGAATGTAAACCTCTACTCGCTAAATATCTAATAAATTAGTTCTGATTAAGATAAAACAATTATTATCTTTTTTATCTGAACAATGTTCTGTGTATGAACAATGTTGTGATGAAGGCTGTCTCCCCTCCACATTGTGTTTTATCTAACCAAATGCGATACATATTCAATTGTATTTTTTTTTTTTTTTTTTTGTAATTTCAAGTATATATAATAAGTAAAACAAAAATAACTATATAAGCGAAGAGAACCCTATTCTAGTTTGTCTCCAAGAAACACACTTACAAGAAACTCAAACAGTGAGATACAAAGATTACGACATATACCGAAAAGCAAAAGATCGTCATGGGAAGACTTCGTATCTTCATTAAATCAAAGCATTTCAATGAAGGAGCTCTGGAATAAAGTGAAAAGCATTAAGGTGATCTCCAAAACAAAGAAATTGCCTGGTATAAAGAGTGGACAAGACATTATAACTGACCCTGACGAAATCGTTAACGAAAGTGATAAAACTCTGCAACAGAGTGTAATTTAAAGGCATTGCCAATGATCCTACAGGGTAGAGGCAACAAAATACCAAATAAATAAATAAAAATAACTATACAAACATATAAACAAATTAATTCTAAATATTCAATATTATATGTGTTTTTTTCATAATAATAATATTGAATTTTTATGCATAGTAAAAACTCCCGCCATTTTTTTTTTTTTTTTTTGGTCCATCGCATTCTCAAATGTTGGTTAGAACATTTTAAATACATAATAATTTTAAATCTTTTTTGCAATTAAAAATATTCATTCATTCATATATTGACATATGGACATTGAAATACTGGTAAAAAATACCGATATATCTATTTATAAAATTTTGATATTTTTCCAATGTTCCTTGGAGAAACCCAACTATTTTTTTGATTTTCGAGAATTTTATTTTTAAACAATAGATGTACATTTAAATTTTTTTTTCTTATTTAATTTGATATAATAAAGTTAGAATCGGTAATAATCTGTCGGAAAAATTTGAGGTTCGCTCGGGTTTAAAACAGGGGGATTCCCTTTCGCCTGTACTGTTCAATTTGGCATTAGAACATGCCATTAGGGAGGTAATGCGTACCGAGAAAGGGTTGGATCTGGGTGGGACAACATCCATGCTGGGCTATGCTGATGATCTGGTACTGTTAAGCGAAGACGTTGAAACTATAAAACTAAATACGACAACGTTAATGAAAACCGGTAAAAAACTAGGACTCGAAATAAACGTGGATAAAACAAAATATATGGTTAGCTGCAAAAATGGCGATACTACTGGTGATATCGATATAGATGGTAATATGTTTGAACAGGTAGATAAATTTAGGTATCTAGGTTCTACGATAACTAGAAAAAACGAAATTGAAGAAGAGATTAAGGTTAGACTGAAGGCGGGAAATGCTTGTTATTTTTCTGTGACAAAACTACTTAGTTCGCGCCTCTTGTCCCGAAACTTAAAAATTAGAATCTATAAAACAATTATCTTGCCTACAGTTCTTTATGGATGCGAAACTTGGCCGCTTACATTAAGGGATGAGCAGCGTCTTAAGGTTTTTGAAAATAAAGTATTGCGTAGAATATTCGGACCGAAGAAGGATGAGTTAACCGGAGAGTTCAGACGGTTACATAACGCCGAATTGCGTGAACTGTATCCGGGTAATATAATTGAGGTAATTTCGTCGCGGCGAATCAAATGGGCTTGTAAAGTTGTTGGGCTTAGTAACGAGAGCATTCCTAAAAGATTAATATTTGCTGTGCCGAATGGTAAGCGTCCGAGGGGTAGACCGAAGCGAAGGTGGGAAGATTGCATTAAAGCCGATCTGAAGGGACTGGGTTTGGACGGCTAACGGTGGAGGGAGGTGTGTAATAAGCGATTGGTGGTGTCGGCATCGAACCTTCGGGTTCGCTAAGCCTTTTATTATTATTATTAATTTAATATTCTTCGTAAACCAATGTCTTCCTGCTCTTCCGTATCCTCTAATAATATCTCACTTATTCCTGTTGAACAGATCCGATACCTAGGACTCCACTTGAACAAACGTCTAACTTGGAATCCTCATACCAGACTGAAACGAAAAGAAACAGCTAGACGTTTCCGATTAGTTCAGCACTTAATAGAAAAACGCTCTGAGCTCCCAGTCAATTACAAAAGGCTCATATACATGACTACAATAAGACCTATTTGTACTTACGGAGTTGATGGGGCTCCACCAAACCTTCAAATCCCTCTCGTATACAATCCTCACAATCCAAAATCCTTCGTAAAATGCTCCTTACTTTGTTACAAATAAATCCATCCATAATGATCTTAATATTTCAGATTTGTCTTAATCCAGATATCTATCCTTCCATAGTAAACTTTATAACCATCCCAACCCTCCGAGAAAAGAAGACGACCCCGTGATCTCCTAATGTGGACATATTATTAGAGTGCTACCAGTGGGTAGTTTCTCAATATGTGTTTCATGTCATTATAGCTATTGTTCGAATTTACTAGAAGCATTTTTTTTTTTACACAGTTGTAAATATCATAATGAATGATAATAAAAAATATTATTATAATTATTTTATATTAATGAATAATTATTTGTTTCTTGCCTAGGTGGTACGATGTGCCCGAACTGCCTCTTAAACAAAGAAGAAGAGGAGGGTAAGTATTACGAGCGAGGCGAGGACTTGCGATTGGAGGCGATCAAAGACCAGATCCTGAGCAAGCTAGGCCTCAGCGCCAGGCCCAACGTGAGCGGGGCCCTGCCCAGGGACGTAGTACTTCAAGTACTCAGCAGGGCCAGCGATGGGCCCCACCACAAGCCGGCTCCCAAGGAGTCCCAGGACGAGTTCTACTCCAGCACCTCGGAGATCATCACCTTCGCCGAACCAGGTAGGGCACTTCGTACACTATCTATCGCTTGATTAGAGGTACCCAATAATATGTAATATAATTACTAATTTTTTTCTCAAAATATTATTTTACAGTATTACCTAGGTATTTGATTAAATTTTTTTTTCTAAACCAAAAAAGTTTATTTAATTAAATTACATATATAAGTATAACAATACTAATATACACAAACAACAAAGTGGAAGCACTGCCCGAGGGCATAAATTAGATTTTAGTAAAAACCTATAATAAATATAATGAGAAGAAGAATAGTTGGGGTGATCAGTCAAATAAGAAGGCAAAAATAAATTATAATATTTATTTTGTCATTTGCCGACGTTTCAACCTGAAGTTCAGGCGATCATCAGAGCTAAGAAAAGAACCAGATAAGAAGGTATGAGAAATATAAAAATTACAGTAAAATGCAGTTGTTAGAATAATGACAATAGTTAGAACAAGAGAATTAATGCTTGAAAGAATTAATCTCTTGTTCTTACTATTGTCATTATTCTAACAACTGCATTTTACAGTAATTTTTATGTTTCTCATATCTTCTTATCTGGTTTTATTCTTAGCCCTGATGATCGCCTGAACTTCAGGTCGAAACGTAGGCAAATGACATAATAAATATTATCATTTATTTTTGCCTTCTTATTTGACTGATCACCCCAACTATTCTTTTCCTCATTATTCACGACATTCAACTATTTAACCATTATTATAATAAATATAACCTGTAGTAAAAACAATTTACGAGAATTTAATTTTCTTTTTTTTATTATTTTTTTTCTAACTCTCCAAAATGTTTATTTAATTACATGTATAGTATTAAATTACATAACAATACAATATATACAAGTAACAAATTCCTTCCACTGCCCGAGGACATCGAATTTTTTTTTTTTTTTCCTACCCTCCTGGAATTTATTTATCACAAAATACAATATATAAATGTTTAATGAATTATATATACAATTTTTTTTTTTTTTAATTTCCTTTTACTGCCCAAGGACATTTTAAGGTAAGAGGGCACAAAGTATGCGTACTTTGCATCTGAGTCATGGTTATCTCATACGACTATCGAATTTTCTTAACTATTTATTATTATTATTACTTAGCTCTGTAGCTGTTATATTTACGAGAACTGAATTTTCTTAACAATTTATTATTATCATTACTTAGCTCTGTAGTCTAGTAAACAAAAGATAAAATTCGCCTGTTAGTATAAAATAAATACTTGTGCTGTTTTATTCCTGAATTTTATTTCGTATTTAACTGTTATACCAAACTAAAATTGAAATGCATGAATGTTATTCTAAAAATGAATTATTTCATATTCATATTGTTATTATTTCATATTAGTTCAAAACTAAACAAAATTATGTTTATTTTTATAGATATAAACGAAGACAATTAATTGTGTTGTGCTGTCGCATACGATTCGAAGCACAATTATTGTGTTGAACTTGGAATGGTTTAGTCGGACATTTGATATGGGCCTGTTTTCATTAAAATATTAATAATTTTAAACATTTGAGCAAACATACCAGCATACCAACTAGTGTTGCCCAAAATCGGTCTTGGTTTTGCACTTTGAAAGACCAAGACCAAGGCCGCCTAACTGTTGCAAGGCCAAGCCATTACTGGTGAAAAAAAATCTATTTTTTAAATTAAAATTAAGGCAAAATAGTTACTAATACTTGACAATCTTAGTTACTAATTAGTTTGGTATAACCAAGATAATTTTGCATTTAACTCTTCTAATTTTTCATTCGGGTATAGTTAGGTCTCTGCTATCTAAAAAATTACAGTGATATCTCTATAGCGACAAGCTAATAAGTAACTGCAAGACTGTTGCGAGACTCTTGCACAAGACCAAAACCATGAACAAGACTGAGTTTGCAAGACCAAGACGAGTCTTGGCTAAAATGACTGGATGATTTTATACTTTATGTCTTGGCTCTCCAACGTCTCGGTCTCACATTTGGGCAGCACTAATACCAACCGCATATGAAAATGCGATAATGTTTTTAAAATATTTTATTGCCAGTTATTTTTAAATTAAATATCAACTTAAGGGATTCCATAACAAATCTTTCTGTAAAAGTTCGATTTGATTGGCTCTCACCCTCAATGATTTTAATGAATATATATATATATATATATATATATATATATATATATATATATATATATATATATATATATGTGTGTGTGTGTGTATACAGAAATAAGAAAAATACCAAATTGAAACGAGTAGTTTCATAATTATAGTAATAGTCCGCGGTACAGACCCCTTTTGATCAAATTATTAACATTCGAAACTTAGTAAATAGCTTCATCTCATTGTTATCTACAAATATTTTATTTACGAAAATTCTCAGAATTGGATCGTTTTCAATCTGGATGTAGCCAAGTTTGCTTATATAATTAGGTACTAAAAGCTCGTAAATGCACATTTGCTTTCCACTAAGGTCGTAACGTAATTTGATCACAAAATCGATAAAAAAAGGTGGCCTACAAAAACTATGGGCCGTTCGGTTAATGCAAACTCGTTATTTTGGCAATTTGGGGGTGTAGGTCACGCCAGTACATTACTTAACACAGACATACAGATGTTAATGATCACAAACGAACACATTACCAGAGATCGGCCTTCCAATGGCCACAACTAACGTGCTCGATAGCATCTGTAGGAGGCTCAAAAGAAGCTGGATGAGAGATCTCCACTAACTACAAATATTAAAATTAAGATAGGAAAGGACGCTGGGCATTCCTCTCTCATGTCTACCAAGGAATTATTCTAATTTCTCGACATCACTCTCGCTGGTTGTCAGAAAAAAACATACAAATTAAACTATAAACTTGGATGAATAATGATGAAAACGTCGATGTACAAGCTGCAAGTGTAGCTAAATTTTAATATAAATCTTTACTTATGAATGAAGTGTGGCTATAATAATAATACTTTGTGAATATATAACAAAAAAAAAATATACATTTCATATTATTAATCCCGCCTTGTTGGTGTTTTAACTTCTATCGTGTGATCTTAAGCACACTTCGTAGTTTTTTTTTTTTAATATGAATTGTGGATAAAACCTTAAATATCGTACTTCAAAGGAGAGAGGAAGTTGCGTAGAAGTTTTCGCCTTGATGGATGCGATCCACAGAGGCCTCTAAGTGGCGAGCCATACAAAAGCCGCTCAAACTCCTGACTGACAGGTACGCGTACGTCAGCCATTCAGTTTCACAATGGCCTCATGATAAATTCAAGGGAGCCTTGATAACAATTTTTGGGGGTCGTTATTGGGCCAACGACCGGGCCCGCCGCGGGACAATCAGTGTCGCCAACCCTTGCAATTTTTCAATCTAGGTGACAACTCTGAGCGATTGTTCTTAGCCACATTAAAGTCGAGACAATCGATGGAAAGGCCCCCCTAACTTATAAAATTAAAATCGACACCCAAAGAGATCCTTTTATTTTATTTTTATTTTAATTTACTAGTTTTAATATACATTGTTAATAATATTCAAATCATGAATATTATATTATTTAATTATACGAGGGGCCCAATATAATTAAAATAATTAAAAATATAACTAATATAATTAAAAGCATAATGGCGGACCAACCACAACCGACAAATTATACAGCTGTTCATTTAATTGTACAACTCGTTGCTCAAATAGTATAACTTTATACAGGATACAGAACCACATGTATTCTGTATTTCAGATTGTATTGCTTTTTATCAATATAAAATAAACTCAACGTATTAATTAAAATAAACCACATAATGATGTAGAGGTGGTTGATCGTGATACTACTAAATTATAGAAATAGTATTATTTAATTTTTTGCCGACGTTTTGACCCACTTTGCAGGTCTTCATCGGAGCTACTGAATGAGGTAAGTAGATGAAATAAGAAGCTGTCTGATAAAGAAATAAAATGATGATATCAGAGATATAGTGGGTGACAAATATAGTTAAAATATCAAGTATTATATTTGTTTGTTTCACTCCCGCCATCTTTTTTTTTTTTGGTCCATCGCATTCTCAATCTAAATGTTGGTTAGAAAATTTCAAATAATGATAATTTTAAATCTTTTTTGCAGTTAAAAATATTCATTCATTCACTCATACATCGACATATGGATATTTAAATACTGGTGAAAAATACCGATATATCTATTTATGAAATTTTTTCAATGTTCTTTGCTGGAACGGAACTATTTGTTTGATTTTTGAGCAGTTTTTTTTTTTTTTAACAATAGATGTACATTTCAATTTCTTTTTTCTTATTTAATTTAATATTCACCGTAAATGACTTCATGTCATACAGTATCCTTTAACAATACCTCGCTTATTCCTGTTGAATAAATCCGTTACCTAGGACTACACCTGGACAAACTTCTAACTTGGAATCCTCATACTATACTGAAACGACAAGAAACAGCTCAAAGTTTTCGACTAATTAAACACTTACTAGATAAACGCTGTAGCATTCCAATTATATGATACTATCCAAGTATACAATATGGTATAAATATTGTGATATTGATATATAAATACAATGATGATATCCAAGTATTATATGATACTTGATATTTTAACTACATTGTCACCCACTATATCTCTGATATCATCTTTTTATTTCTTTATCAGACAACTTCTTATTTTATATCAACTTATATTCATTTATTTTATTTTCACCATGTACTTTTTATATTTTGCATCTTTTGAAGCCTTGAAGAAGATCTGCAAAGTGGGTCCAAACGTTGGCAAAAAAATTAAATAATACTATTTCTATAATTTAGTATTTATTTGACCGCACCCCCCCCCGATCAACTCCTCACAAAATAAACCACAGTTTGTACAAATCTTTAATTGCTTCAAAAATCCATATTATACATCACGCTTTATTGCCAATCTGTAACCATAATATATATTCAACTTGACCAACTTTATATAATTTGTGCCCTTTATTTCTAATAT